GCCTTACCTCGAGCACAGCAATTTCCTCAACAGCCACTTCGGACGAAAACAGCTCCGCGTCGTCCGAAAATCAACTTTTCCACTTTTTCCTTTATTTTTCTCTCTCCTGGCTTTTTCTCTCTCTTCAAAATATCTCATTTCTATATATATCCAGACTGATCGTCCCGGACGATCGCACTTCGTCCCGGGACGAAGTGGCTCTGGATAAATTTCGTCCAGACGAAATTTAATTATCGTCCCCGGCGACTGGTCCTCGGGAGAATTTTCGTCAAGACGATCCAAATTTTGTCCAGACGATCCATGCAGCCAGAATTGTTTTCCTTGAACATCCTGTACTGATCATCCCGGACGATCCAACTTCGTCCGGACGAACCTGGAGCAAAACTGATGTTACATCAACCTTCTTCCTACGGGAATCAAGACTGGGTTCTTGATACAGGGGCTACAACGCATCTCACGCCAAATATTAATCAGCTTCAACAGTCTTATCCATACTCCGGCCAAGACTCCGTATCTATCGCCTACGGCTCTACCTTACCAATACAGAACTCCGGTCAAGGTTTGCTGCCGTTACTGGATGCACCCTGTAAGTTCTGGTTATGTAACATATTACATGTTCCTTCTCTCACGCATATCCTCCTTTCCGTTTCAAAACTTATTGTTGATAACTCTATTTACATTACTTTTAAAACTAACTGCTTTGAAATTAAGGACTCACTGGACAATCGTCTTCTTCTTCGTGGACACCTTAATAAAGGCCTCTACCACATTCCACCACCACTGAAGGATCAGCATGCAGCTCTTCAAGCCAGTACCGGGACGTCTCAGTTTTGGCATGCCCGTCTCGGACATCCAAACAACAAACTTCTTCCTACTCTTGCCGTCTTATTCCAGACTGCAAGAACCTTACTATTTCTTCATTCTGCAAATCTTGTATTGTGGCTAAATGCCACAAACTACCATTCAATAAAAGCTTAACCGAATCCTCCACACCGCTCGAACTAATACATTCGGACGTGTGGGGACCGGCGCAACAAATTTCTTTAGATGGTTTCCAATATTATGTGCTTTTTATTGATGATTATACTCATTTTACGTGGATCTACTTTATGAATTCAAAACAGGAAACGTTCTCGAAATTTCAAGTATTTTGCAACCTTGTTCGCAACCAATTCCCTACCACTCCAAAAAATTTTCGTTTAGATGGAGGCGGCGAGTTCACTAGCTCCGCTTTTCAAACGTTTCTCCAAAACAGCGGCATCATACATCAACGAAGCTGTCCTCACACCCCCGAACAGAATGGACTCGCGGAGAGGAAGCACCGTCGTCTACTTGAACTCACACGTACTCTTCTTCATGCTGCCGCTCTCCCAAATCATTTCTGGGCCGAAGAAACCGCTACTGTTAATTACTTAATAAACCGGCTTCCCTCCACCTCTTTAAAATTGAACTCTCCCTACCAAAAGCTCTACAACAAGACACCCAATTACACGCATCTTTGCACGTTCGGGTGTCTTTGCTATCCCTGGCTTCAACCCTATACCTCCAATAAGTTTGAGCCTCGCTCCACCGACTGTCTATTCATTGGCTACTCACCAAGCCACAAAGGCTATAAATGCTACAACCTCCTCACCAAGAAAACACAAATCTCCCGCCATGTTCTTTTTAAAGAAAATATCTTTCCTTACACTTCACTCAATACTGCAACTATCCCTCAGCACCAACAACCAACTCCTATCACTCCCCCCCTTCTTCTCATCCCAGCCTCATCCACCTCCAGTATCAACAAACACACGATCACTCCTCATGCCAACGTTCAAATTACTCCAGCACCCTTACCGTCTCCACTTCCTCGGCCAGACATACAGCTTGATAAACCTGTCTCAATAACCAATGCTTCCAATATGCCTACCAACGCCGTTCATCACATGACTACCAGATCCAAATCGGGCATCCACAAGCCACGACAAATTTTGTCTCTTCTGAGCAGCTCGAGTACCTTTCCGACTTCGACTTCTTACGCTCAGGCACTCAAACATGACCATTGGCGTCGTGCCATGGCCGAAGAATACCACGCTTTACAAACCGAAGGGACCTGGTCCCTTGTGTCTCCTCCTCCGAACAAGCCCATAATTGGGTGCAAATGGACCTTCAAAACAAAGATGCTACCATCTGGCCAAGTTGATTGCTACAAAGCTCGCCTAGTAGCTCTAGGCTATAATCAAATCTATGGCGAAAATTACACATAAACGTTTAGTCCAGTGGCCAAGATGGCCACCATCCGGCTACTTCTCACCCTTGCCATTCAACGGCAGTGGAAAATACAACAATTGGATATCTTCAATGCTTTTCTACATGGCGACTTGTCGGATGACATCTACATGCGTCAACCACCGGGCTTCATCGACCCAAATTTACCCGACCACGTCAGCAAGCTCAACAAGTCGCTGTATGGACTCAAGCAAGCACCACGACAGTGGTTCCAGAAGCTAACCTCTTTTCTCCAAACATGAGGCTTTCGTTTTAGTCGTTCCGACCCTTCATTACTCATATTTAATCAAAATAACATTCACACATTTCTTCTAATTTACGTCGATGATATTTTGTTGACAGGAAATGACCCAGCATCCATTTGGTCTCTTCTACATGATCTTCAATCCAACTTCGCTCTCAAACAGCTCGGCAATATCTCCCTTTATCTAGGCATCCAAGTATTACACACCACTAACGGACTCTTTCTCACGCAGGAACACTACGCCAATAAACTGCTCAAGGACATCGGGTTCACGGACTGCAAAGCAGCTCCCACACCTCTCGCTCTTAACAATACTCATAAAACAAACCCTGCAAAGCCATTCGCCGACCCCTCACTCTACAGACGCCTAGCCGGAGCCCTCCAATACCTCACGATCACTCGACCAGACATTGCTTTTGCCACCAACCGCATCTGCCAACAGATGCACCGCCCCACCGACCAGGACTATCAGGATCTCAAGCAAATCCTCCGCTACATCAAAGGCACCATCTCCTTTGGATTGCCTTTTATCCCTGGCGACCTCACCCTCCGGACATTTACCGATGCCGACTGGGCGTTGGATCACACAGATAGAAAATCTGTCTCCGGGTTCTGCACATTCTTGGGTCCTAATCTAATCTCCTGGACAGTCAAGAAATAGGTCACCGTTGCAAAATCATCAACTGAAGCCGAGTACCGTGCACTTTCTGCTGCAAGCTCCGATGTACTTTGGCTACGTCGCCTATCCGCCGAACTTCTGCTCCCGCAAGACTCACCCTCAGTTATAAACTGTGACAATGTCTCCGCAATCGCTCTTGCCAAGAACCAGATCTTTCACGCCAGAACAAAGCATATTGAGATAGACTACCACTTCATTCGGCAACATCTCAACTCCGGCGATATCTCACTTCAGCACATTTCGTCCGAAAATCAAGTCGCGGACATTTTAACTAAGCCATTCTCTATCACTCGCTTTGACAATCTACGATCCAAATTAACCATTCAACCACGAATGCTTAATTTGAGGGAGGATGTTAGTGAATGAGCTAGCTATTTTGTATCTAGTCATATGTATTTACCTATTTACCATTAACCAAGTCTATATATAGACTCACTGTAACATATTCTACATCTAATATTGAATTAACTTTTCTTTTCAAAGTCTCGCATCTCCCACTCTCTGTTTCCGCCTTTCTTCTCCTTTCTCAGTTCTAACAACCGAAGGATAATTTTTTGGGTACTTGCTGTTTGCCTTTCTTCTCCAATGGTTATTTTTTGTTGTTTTTTGAGTCCAGTCCTTTTGGGCTTGCTTGCCTTTTTATTTTATAAGCCTTTTTCCTTCATTTTTTCAAGCTTTCATCATGATATTATTTTCTTAGTGCTCTTTTAGTTTTTATGGATGCAACTCTTGGCGATATTGTATAATATAAATGTGTGTGATGTATTATGACCATGGCTTTTATAATTATGTTTTATATTATTTTCTAAACAATAATACTATGACATACTTTGGCTTTTCTTATACAAATTATTTTGTAAATCAATTTAAAAAAAAAATCTGCTTTGCCTTATTTAATTAATTTTTAAGCATACTTAACGTATTGTTAAAGATAGGAATAGTTTCTATAAATATGTATAAATTCATACATTAATATAACAAAATACATTTTATATTTACCTAACCAAATAATTGAAGTGGAAAAAAAAAATTACATTACTTTTTTTTTTTCATTACTTCTATATTTACATAGACATAAACATAAAGCAAATATGATTTCTTAAATTTTTCTTTATTTTTTTATATTGAGCAAAAAAATTCATGGCTATCCAATATATGCTCTCGAAGAGAAGAGTGCTTGATTGTGAAAAAAAATACATCCAACTGGACCATATAACTTGTCAAAGGTTCGAAGCGACTAGCGTGATGAGTATATTAATTTCTCAAATATCAATAACCTCAAGTATGATTATATGTTCAAGAAACAAAATTATGATACGAATCATGAATTAGGCTTTGTTTGGGACAATTTTTTATTGCTTTCTATGACAATTTTTTAGTACAATTTTTTTTAACTAAGGCTTTGATGTGGGAACATCTTTACACTCCCTGTTATGCAGGAATATTATGTTAAAACCTGCTATCACTTGCTCTGTTTTACTTTTCTTTCCACTTCTTTTATAACCGCATATAGTACTATAGTACAGTAGGCAATTAGCCATCTGATTGGGTTATTTTAGCTAGTATACCGTTCATATAGGGGCTGGAGGAGAAACTGTAGAAGCTTAGTCTTTCAGAAATACAAAATATATCACCGGAAGGTTTTACTGTTCTATTGCTCTGTGTCTCTGTTTATCCCTGTTCTGTTGCTACCACAGCAAAATTGGTATCAGAGCTTGGAAGTGAGGAATGGCGGAGAGCAGCCGACAACCCGCTTTCGACGGTGTTCAAGGCGAAGGTGCTTCATGGGTGATTCAATCCAAGATTATTCATCAATTGGAGGAACTCAAGATTGAGTTTCGTCGATTCGCCACTGAGGTGCGTTTAGAGTTCCAAAATATCAAAGCAGGAGGCGGCAATATCCAACTGCCGCCCCCCGCTGTATCGCCGACCCACCGCGCACCACTACCGCACACTAGGGGGGGGGTCGCCGAGGGAGGCTTGAAGCGTCGGAGTTATCCGACTTTGATGTGGATTTTGGGCCATTGTAGCAGCAAGTCACGTCGGACTCAGGCGACGAAGAGGTTCCACAGAATTTTCCCCAGCATCGGCTACCACTACAGAAAAAATGCCAAAATCCAGCGGTTAGCCTATATTCACCGGTGGTTTTTTTAACTACAGGCGGCTTTACGGCGGTTTTTGTGCCGCTGGAAAAAATCGCGTAGGAAACTATCACCGGCGGTTTATGTAGCCGGCGGCTCCGACCGCCGATTTCAACCAGATTTTATGCCGGCAGTTTTCCGGCTGTGACGCCGCCGGCTATTTGACCGACGGCCTACCGGCGGTCGGTTTTCCGGCGGTTTAGTTAACTGTCGTATGTTTTTAAAACCGCCGGCCTTCGCCGGTAGACCGCCGGTTACCTAACCGGCGAAAGCCGGCGGTCTAACCGTCGGTATTTTCGGCTGTCTACACCGCCGGATGTCCGCCGTAGAACCACCGGTGGCCCCCGGTAATATACTTGTAAAGATGTCCGCCGGCTGATCGGTGGTGGAAATATGGCGAACCGTTATTTGGTTTGATTGAATGCAGTCCCGTATAAAATGATGATCCACCTCAATATGCTTGGTTCGAGCGTGAAAAATGGGATTGCAGCTATGATGCACCGACACGGACACGACACGACACGGACACGGGATACGACATTTTTTAAAAATATAGGACACGGGTGCAGCGTGGACACGGCATAATAATTTTTTAATATAATATATAGAAATTAAGATGACATTATATTAAAAATGACAAGCAATAATAAATCAATTTCATGATAACTTGTTTAACTTATAATATAAAGATATTTAGTACAAATTGTCTAGTACAACCACAAAAATATAAGCAAAAAATCATTTAGTACAACATGAAGATCCAACTACTCAATAGAGGGAATGATAAAATTAGATTCAGATGTTGATCTTTGGCCTTCAATGTCATCATCATTGAATATCATTGCTTTCAACTCAGGTTCATCTAGAGAAAGATTTGCAACCTCCAATAATCTCATATCATTAAGGCACTCGAACCCATCTCCATCAACATCCCACATCTTGTTATCACATGTCATATAAAGTGGGGTTTTCCTTGATAGAAAATGAAGATTTTTATGCACATAAACTAAATCTTCAGCTAGTTGTGGAGTTATTTTATTCCTCTTCATTGATTGAATAAATGAGTATGTGCTCTAATTTCTCTCACAACAATAAGAGGATGATACTCGAAGTTATGCTTGTTTTTAAAGTTTGTAAGTTATTTGTATGGAAAAATACCAAGCGGTACTGAGCATGTACTGAGCGGTACCAAGCATGTACCTAGCAGTACCAAACTTGTACCTAGCGGTACCGAGCATGTATATTAGCTTTTTTTTGGTAAGTTTCAAAAACAACAATTAATATTTCAGGCGTTGAGAGTCGGGCGTCGATGTCATTTATCAGTCACCGAGAGAGGAGATGAAAATATCTTCAATGCCAAAAAGAAATGAAAAGGAGAATATTCGATGATTGAGAATTAAGTGCGGACATTGATTTGATTTTGTGGATAGGAAATAAGAAATTTAGTTTAAATCCCGCAAAATAAAAGAAATTATATTTAAAAAAATTCATAAAATATTTAAGATAAGGGTGTTGGACATGCGTGTCCAATTAGCATTTAATATTTTTTAATCGGACACATTTTCGGCGTGTCCGACACGTGTCGGACGAGTGTCGTGTCGGACACTACACGCCTCTTTGAGGAGAAGTGTCGGTGCATCATAGGATTGCAGGCTATGGACATTGCAGAGACATTGTCACAAAAGAGCTCAGTTGAAGAGAGGTTGATCTGAAAATCTTCGTAGAGCCGTCTGGTCCAGATGAGGTCGGCGGCGGCAGCCGCCATGGAACGGTATTCTGCTTCGGTTGATGATCGGGCAACTGTTGTTTGCTTTTTAACAGACCACGAAAGAAGAGCAGTTCCTAAGAATATGCAATAGCCAGTAGTCGATTTGCGATCTAGTTGATCACCCGCCCAATCAGAGTCGGAGTAGGCAATGAGAAGTAGGTCCGTTTGGGGAAGAAAGAGGCCATGGTGTAAGGTGCCGTTTAAATAACGCAAGACGCATTTAAGCAGTTGGAAATGAAGCAGGAGGGGATTGTGCATATGTTGGCACAACTTGTTGACAACAAACGCTATATCCGGCCGTGTCGATGTGAGGTACTGCTGAGAACCAGCGAGCTTACGAAATAGATCCGGTTGAGCAAAGGGTAACTGAAGATTCGGATCAACAAGATACTTGGAGGGGAGAGGTGTAAGCAGAGGTTTGCAGTTGGTCATCGAGGCCGTATGTAAAAGATCCTGAATGTATGATGGCTGATGAAGATGATAACCGGCCGCAGAACACTAGAAATCAATGCCAAGAAACTTGGAGAGATGACCAAGATTTCTGGTTTGAAAATTTTGTTGAAGATTTAAAATCAAGGTAGTAATCGAAGATGAATCACTGCCAGTGATGAGAAGGTCATCAACATATACCAGAATATATATGTGAAGGTGATCCTTGTGGTAATGGAAAAAGGAAGGATCGGCCGAGCTGATGAGAAAGTTCTGGTTTTTGAGATATGTACTCAAGGTAGCAAACCAGAGCCGAGGGGCCTGTTTAAGGCCGTAGATGACTTTATGCAGCAAACAGACATGATCTGGGAAGGTTTTATCTTCGAAACCTTGTGGTTGAGACATTTGGACCGGTTGATCGAGCTTTCCATGGAGAAAGGTATTCATCACATCCAGCTGATGAATTGGCAAGTCGTGGTGAAGAGCGACTATAAGAAACATTCTGATAGTGGCAAATTTAACAACTGGACTGAAGGTCTCAAGGTAGTCGACACCATACTGTTGTTTGAAGCCCTGCGCGACTAGGCGCGCCTTGTACCGAGCAACGGATCCATCTGCCAGAAATTTTAACTTGTAGATCCATTTACAGCTGATAACTTGATGATTCGGTGGAGGTGGCACGAGGGACCATGTGCCTTGTGTCTGAAGAGCATGAAATTCAGTAGACATGGCCTTGCGCCAATGGGGGTCCTTGTTGGCAGTGGTAAAATAGGACGGAGAGGAGTGTAAGGTATGAGAGAGATAAAAAATGATACGAGGTTTAAGGTGTCCGTGGTTGAGGAATAGGCGTGGTAGTAGATGATGAGGAAGTGGTTGGAGGAGTTGAGATAGTGGTTGGAGAGGTAGAGACGGAAGGAGTAAGGAAGGAAGTGGAGGAGGTAGGCAAGGGTAATGGTGAAAGATTTGAATTTTGAATTGGAGGGAAGAAGGGTAGAGCAGTGGAGGGAGGAGGTGGAGATGCGGGTACATAAGATATAGATGGAAAAATGGAGTCATCAAATTTGACGTGACGAGAGGAGATCGTTGTTTGAGTGATAGGATCAAAACATTTGAATCCTTTTTGATTGAGGGTGTAACCGAGAAAAATACAGGAGATAGACCTGGGAGCTAGTTTGTGAGGGGAGAGTGGTTTGGTCCAGGGAAAGCACCTGCAGCCAAAAGGATGAAGAAAGGAATAATCGGGTGGAGTTTTATATAGAAGGTGATATGGAGATTTGGAAAAGGTATTGGAGGACGGTAATCTGTTAATTAGAAAGGCGGCGGTGAGTACGGCATCAGACCAGAATGTGGAAGGTAAGTTAGCATCAATTAGAAGAGCTCGCGCGGTTTCCATGAGATGGCGATTCTTTCTTTCAGAGACTCCGTTTTGCTGTGGAGTGTAAGGACAAGTTACTTGGTGTGTAATGCCACGATGTGCAGTGAATTCCTGTATTGTTTTATTTTTAAATTCTCCGCCGCCATCGCTACGCAATGTGCGAACGGTATAATTTAGTTGTTTTTCAATTGATGTTAGGAAGCGTATTAAACAGAGAGCAACGTCGGATTTTTGTTTAAGTAAGAAAAGCCATGTATATTTGGTATGATCATCAATGAAAATAAGAAAATAGTGAAAGCCATCGTAAGAGAGAACAGGGGATGGACCCCAAACATCCATATGTATTAACTCTAAGGGAAATTTAGATACATGGTAAGAGGGAGAAAAGGGAAGCCTGTGACTCTTTGCTAGTTCACAGGAATTACATAAAGAGCGTAAAGATGTAATGTGAAGTGAGGGAAAAGCTTTAGCTAATGCAGTCATTATCTTGACATTTGGGTGTCCGAGCCGGCGATGCCAAGAGAGAGATGTAGGAGACGGAGCAATGGTAGTTGAAGCAGCGACGATTGATGGTTGGTAAGGAATGGGATATAAGCCATTAAGGCATCGTCCGTGGAGTAGAGACTAATTGGTCCTCGTATCCTTGACACGAAAACCAGATTTGTCAAAAATGATTGAGCAATTGTTGTCATTTGTGAGTTTGGAGATTGAGATTAAACGATGTGATAAATGTGGTACATGAAAGAGAGGAGTAAGAGTGAGCTTACGGGTGGGTGTGGGAAGGAGACCATTGCCAACATTCTGGATAGGAAGTGGATTACCATTGCCAACAAAGACTTGATCTCGGTCGTTGTAGGGAGTGGGTTGCTGAAGGGGAAGAGGATCCGGAGTCAGATGGGCTGATGCTCCGCTGTCTAAGTACCATGGAGAAGAATCAGATTCAACAACCAAAGCAACACTTGAGTTGGAAGACGGAGTGTAGTTGAAGTTTCCGCGGTGCCGGCAGTTGGTGGCCGAGTGGCCACGTTTGCCACAGATTTGGCATTCACCATCAAAGCACGGAGTACGGGATGAAACTCGAGGTACATTGGTGGAGAATAAGCGACCACGACCACGGTTGGAGGAGGAGCATCCGCGGGATCTCCCTCGATTGGAGAACAGAGCAACTTGGCCTTCCGAAGGAGATGTATTTGAAAATGAAAGTTCACGAAGAGCATCTGTTGTTTGATGAACCTCTTCACTTCGAAGAAGAGAATATAATTCATCCAATGAAATGGGATGCAGAGAGCTCCGAATGGTTGTTTTAAAGGACTGATAAGAAGGCGGAAGGCCATTAAGGATGTGATGAAGAATGTCTTCATTGTCCACGGTTCCTCCAGCAGCTCGAATGTTATCTACCGTGGTTTTGACGGACGCCAGATAGTCCGTCATGGTCTTGTTTAGCATGGAGAGGGATTGTATCTCATTCTTGAGTTGTATAACTCTAGAGCGATTAGTAGAGAAAAAAACGTTGCTCTAATGTCTTCCAAATTGAGGCAGAGGTCTCCAAGGTGAGAATGTAAGGAAGAATAGGTGGAGAGATCGTGGAGAAGAGAGCAACAGAGAGATTTTGATCTATTAAGGTCCAAGTAGAGTGTTGAGGGTTGAGAGTGAGCTGACCAGTGGCTGTGAGAAGGTGTTTAGGTGGAGATAGGATGGTGCCGTCAAGGTAACCGGAAAAATGATTTGCAGCGAACAATTTGTAGATCGCTGATCTCCATGTAGGATAGTTTTCTGGTGAGAGCTGAACGTTAATTACGTTCTTGATATTTGCTAAGAGAAACTTGAGAGTTGCAGGGATCACGACGTCGGTGGAGGTTGCAGGAAGATCAGCTGTGACGGCTGCACCAGAAGGTGTGCTGGGAGCGGAGGCTGTTGAGTCAGCCATGGAGCGGAGGAGCCATTAGGCGATCGGCTCTGATACCATGATGAAATCATGTAGACAGGCAAACGCCATTACGAACTAAGAGAGGAAGAAGATGAACAGTGAAATGGACAATTTCATTATATTAACTAAAACTGATTACATTGGTATAAATAAGTAAAGATGTTGCTTGGTGCAATTACATCATTTCCCCTTTACAGTTATAAAGCGATCAGGTGGCAGGCGAAGGTGGATAACGGGTCTGCTGTACGCCGGCGGGCTCTACTCCACTTTGTGCTAATGATTTGGGTTGAGTGCAGGATGCAGGAGCCATGTCAGTTTAGACACGAGGCATTCAATTTTAGGGTACATGTTTTTTGTATTTGGTAATCTGGTAAGTTGGAGGTGCTCTTTGCAACATGTAGTTGCATTGTCTACCACAAAAAGTAGAATTCATTGCTGCCACTGAAGCAATCAAAGAAGGCATTTGGTTATAGGGATTTGTTAGAGAGCTTGGGTTCTCTCAAGACAAATTCAATGTGTTTTGTGATAATCAAGGTTTCCATACAACTAATGAAAAATCTTATTTTTCATGAAAGATGCTGTTTTGAATCCTGACTTCAAGCACACGTGCGACGCATGTTAGATAGCTAGCTTCAGATAATTGCATACGGGGCAGAATCAGTCTTAATTTTCAGGGGAGCAAACTTATAAGTAAATGTGTAGAGATTTTTTTTTCGTAAATATATTTACAACCAAAATTTATTCTGAGGGCGCTGCCCCTCATCCCCTATTTGTTCATATCCTTGATCGTTGTACGTTTCAGAGATATGTCGGGGGTCCAAGAGGGCAGCGCCCCCATGCGGGATTCGACCTGGTTGTGAGGATATTTTTGGATTTTCTTGACTATTTCTCTTTATATTTGGTTCATTGTTTCCTAACAATAGCATCTCTATATAATGTGTTTAATCATGTTGGGGCAACTGCCTAAAGATCATAGTATTTTAAAACTTTTAGGAGGGGCAATTACCTAAAGAATCATTATATATATATATAATTCATATTCAATGTAAATATATAATCAAACTACAATAAAGTCAAAAACATTTGAATAAAACTCTAATTCTTATTTAGCTTGTTAGACAAACGCACTTATAAAAATTAGTCGAATATAAACTAAATATCAAACCAAATATGATTAAATATGAATAATGAGCTTTTTTAACAAACGGATCATTTTGTAACGATGGCTTATAAAAAATGCTACTAATTTAAAACATTAGCGGTCTATTATCACCTTTAGCTATCACTGCTCCTTTGGGTATAACATAATTAGAAACAATTTTCTTGCGATAACAAATTTTTATGAGATAAATCTAATATGATGAGTATAATTGAAGGAATATGGAGTTCACAATAAACAAATTTAGAACAAAATTATTACCCTGTTACTAAGGCAAATAAGTTAAATATATATTTACATGGCAAAATCTGAGTTTAGATTGACCTGTTTAACAAATATGTCAAGTTAGGATATAGAATTCTAACCCATTTAATTGCTGAGTCGGATTTAAGTTCACCGGTTAATCTAATATTGGCTCAATTTTGACATGATAGTGACTCATTTAATTATTTTTTCTTAATTTTGTTGTTGTTGTTGTGCTCTTTTTATTTTTGGTCAATTAATTTAAATTCTATATTTGAGAAATTATATTTTTATTAATC